GGCGCTGGCGTCGCGCTGGCGTTCGCAGCGCGGGGCGCTGGCACCCTTCCGCCCCTGACGGCTTTTCCGAACTATGGGCCAACCGCCAAAAAATGTCTCTTTTTTCCCCACCATTTTTTTTTTCGGCGTGCCGCGCTTTTCTGCGAACTCTCTCCCAAAGGACAAGCCCTTACACTGCTGGCAGCAGCGCGCGCACACCATACACACTACTTTTCCCGGGCCGGGCGCGCGGGGCGCGTGGAGGATAAGTGCTCCGAATCGGAGGGAATGGTTTTCTGCCCCCCCCAACCCCTCATCGTCGTGTGTGGTTGGTTTGTGTGTGTGTGTGGGGCGTGAGCGCTTCCTCTCTTTCTCCCCGTCGCAGCCAAGCAGACACGAAGAAAACGACGAACAAGAGGGGCAGCGGCGCAGCGGCACAGGGGGTGCGAGTAGCAGATGAAGATGGCTCTGTTTGTCTCGGTGTTGTCGCGGCGTGCGGCAGGGCGTGCGGGCAGGGGGGCCCCGCTGCAGCGAGGCGGTGAGGCGCCCCTCCGCGCAAAGGGGACCAGACACACAGCTCGCCCTCTGACAGGCGATTGACAAGCGCGCAGGATGCGTCAGCACGGCGCCGTCCCCCCGGCCGCCCCTACCCCCGAAAAGACGACGCCGACGACGACGGCCGCGCCGTGCGCCGCGGCGCCAGCCCGCTGATGCGGATCTGGCGGTGGGGCGTGGCTGCGCGTCCTGTGTTCAAAAACCCTCGTCCACGTCCTCCACGTCCTCGACGACCCCACGCAGGGGGGACTGGGCCCAAAAAGGGCCCTGGCGGAGGGTTCCTTAGGGGCCCCGGAAATTGTGCAAACCCCCCCCCCCCCACCCCAAAAAAATAGCATTCAAATCAGAAAAAAAGCAGGTAAGCTTTGAAAAAAATTTTGAAATCTATAATTTTTTTTACCCTTTGCTCTGGGGGCCCCTTTCGACCCCATGCTTCCTTTTTGGGACTTTTTGACCCCTTGCTTAAAAGGGCCTTTTTGGGCCCATGCTCGTGGGGGCCCCTTTTGTGCCCCTTGCCCTGTAGCCTTTTGGGGCCCTTTTTCTTGGGCCCTTTTTGGGCCCTTGCACTTGTGCCCCCTTGTCCTGTACCCCTTTAAGGCTCTTGAACTAGTTGGCCCTTTGTGGGCGGCCTGGGGGCCCCTGTACCCCTTTTTGGGGGCCCCTTTTTCTTGGCGAATTTTGTGCCCTTGCTCTGTACCCCAGAAAAGGCCCTTCTCTTTGAGACCATGGGGCCCTTTGGGCCCTTGTTCCTTGAGCCCACGGACTCCGAGCGAATCTAGGGCCCTTTGGTCCGGGTTTTTTGAGAAGTCC